TGGCTGTCCAAACTATTTACTTCTTCAAAAGCCTCTCTGAGTAACTAGAGCATCACAGCATCATGGCATGTCAATCCAAATCAATTGAAGGAATGACTATGCTAGCAAAATGCATTCTTGAATCTTATGCAGCCCAATGGGAGTTGCAACGGGAAACATACTTATCTGAGCTCACTCATGTGCACTCCTTACCTAGTTCTACAGTTGACCCTCTCCTGGATACCCATCCCAAGTCCTCACACTGTAGTATAGTACACAGGTTGCAGGGATACTATGAATGCCCCTTCTCCACCATCTATTAACCCAGACCTTAGAAATGCAGCTGCTGGGTGCAAGTAAGGAAGGCATTACATTGCTTGTTCTCTAAGACCTGTAATACAGAAACTGGTTTTCAATGCCCTGCCTGTATGACCAGTAGTTTCAATTATTTACTGCATGGATTTAGATACCATCATCACTTACAGGTGAAAGTGCAATATCATCTTTCCGCTCATGTTTTAGAGACACCATCTTCATCCTGTTTTCTTTTTTGTATTAACAGACTAAAAGCTATGTGTGAGTATCTTCCCTTTGGAAGCACTTTCCATGCCTAGCACTGCTACAGGTGCTGCTGCATATAATAGCCAGAGAGCTCGATCCTGAGCCAAAAACAATGTGGATCATCAGGCAATGACTATAGGCATCATGTTCATGTAGGCTGGAAACAACAAATTTCTTGATTGATAACACTGGATAAGGGACAGAAAATGAAGTAATCCAATTGCTATGACTGAAATCGAAATGGTAAGTTTTAAAGCCACAAGCTTTATGAATTGTGATGAAAAGAGAAACATCAGCATTTGGGACAACCTCCTTACAAAAGAACATGCATTTCCTAAAAGTGTTTTAGTCTTCTGCTGGTGAATGAATATTAGCTCTAAAGGTTTTCTGAAGATAAAGAAAGGCAGAAGAGCTGATTAAGATCCATTTATTTCCAAGCAGCCTGTAGTGGAAGGTTCTCTCTGTCAGTCTGCAAATGCCTCTGCCCTTCATTTCACCTTGATATCTGTCCATCTGTATTTGTTATGAGCAATAAAGTAATTCATGCTACTTGTCACATCATGGAAGAAGCTTCACACCCCAGCAGCTGCAAACATAACGTGTTCTGAATCAGCGTTGCCTCTTGAAAATTTCAATATGCCTTTTTGACTTCTGATATTCTGTCCTCTTCCTTGGAACTGCAAGTCATCTTTCAGAAGCAAGAGCTTGGTCTTCCTGTTGATATGTCTCTATCTTCCTTTCCACAGAGGAGTTTAATAATACTTCCAAAATATTAGACCTTTCTTTCCTGACAACACATACGCGAGAGAAAATATGAGCCTCTTGTGAAAGACAGGGAAACCAAGGCAAGATGAGAATAGTTAACCTGCCCATGGCTACATGAAAAGTTCATGGAGGAGCATATAATTTTGTCTATATTATCGGTCTTTCTGTCCAGCCCTTTAACCACACAGCACTGCTTTTGCTTTCAGAACTGCATGTTCCCGAGCGTTTGTTACCAGATCAAATTATAGTGCTTGTTATCAGACCACCAGAAAGTTCAATACGCCTGCAAATAATGTTTCAGATAGTCCATCCCACGTCTCTTCCTTTCTTCTCCTAACAGAGAAAGGTCCACAGGGACTAAGGACCCTCAAGTCTGTATCCACAATACCTAGAACAGCCTCAAAGACATTCTGAGTGTTGCACCATTCTTTCCTGAGATGTTCCAAAAAAAGGGGAAACCAAAAAGGAAATCACAACTGTGTTTCTGTGCCCCTCTAGGATCAAATGTCAGAATATAGTACTGCCAGAAGCAGAAATAGACCAGGATAGCGTAATTCTTTAACATAATCCTTCATTGCAAGTCGCTTTGATCTATATCCTCCTGCACTAGATTCATTGCCATTTGTCTTTACTAGTGTGGGATTAAAAACATTTGTACTTGAAAAGAGTCTAAATCAATCCTTTTTCATCTTTTTCCAAATAAGTATATGT